CCTGATGCTGGGAAAGATTGAAGGCAAAAAGAGAAGGGGACGGCAGAGGATGAGATGGTTAGATAGGACAGGAAGGCCTGGTGCGATATGGTTCATGGGGTCACGAAGAGTCGGACACAACTTAACGACTGAACAACAACAAGAAGAGTAGCCAGAACCTCCTGCTTTTGGTAGAGGTTGGATACATAGATTTGCATCTTTAGAGGAGTCCTTCCTTCCTGATGCTTGGGCTTGATTGCTGCAGCTGGGATTGGTGTGGCTTGTGGCTCCCTGTGAACTCAATGTGGCTGGAGCTCTTTATTGAAAGGAGAGAGATTTTTAAGCCATAATTGGAAGGTTTCTCTTCATTTATTTTTTACTTACTTTCTATTATTTTTCTTCTTTTAAATTTTTTTTCTCAGTCTAAATAAAGCCAGGAGATAAACACCTTTTCTGTAGAGGGCAGAAGTAAGAAGAGGAAAGTTTTCTTTCACTGGGTGGCAAAAATCTAAGCCTTGCCTTCTAGTCAAAAATCAGGCCATCCTTCACTGATTAGAATGATATATTGCATTAAGTCCATGTACTACTTGAAGTGAAACATTTCAATGGCTGTGCTCTAATATCTCAAGCCTTTTTTTTAATGACAGGTAGAACTCTGATTACAGGTTTAACAGCTATTCTGCACACCAAGTATATTCTAGGGCGTTGTAACTTTCTGTTCCAAAAGAAAAGAAACTATAAAACAATCTAAAGAAACACTAGCTTTTGATCAACCTTAGCAGATGCACAGTACTCTGTCAGGTAAATCTTTTTTTAAACGACTTCCTTCAAATCTTTTCAACTCGAGTCAGTGTTGCTCTGTAGAAATGCTTAAAGTACAGAGAAGTAAAATCAGCTAACTATCCCTGCATAACAAAATTATAATTTATTTGAGGGCTGCTTTTAGGCCAGAGGCAGTCAATCCACAATTTCAAGCTACACTCTTGCTGAAAATTCTTAAAAACAACTACTCCAACCACAGAAAAGGCTAATCAGCACTGTGGCTTCCAGCCATGCCAGCAGTCCAGCAAGATTGCCCACCTTAATCCTTGGGTTTCAACTTAAGACTGCTTTTAGTTCATCTCTCTAAAGTTATGATCAGCAGTGTATAATAAACATACAGTACCATTTAATCTTTACTGCTAAAATAGCAGGAACACATCAGCTATGCCTAATGTTAAAAATCTATTGTATATTTCAAAATCCCAATGTTTTAGATATGCAGTGAAAGCAACCTTTGTTTTAATCAGGGCTTTATTTTTAATTAAAAATAAGAGAATAAAATTGGGAAAAATAACTGCAAATGCATTTTATTATTAGGCAAAGTTGTCTAAAAACGAATTAGGAGAATAAATAATATTGGATTGCTAGTGTAAATTTCAGCACAGTCCGATGCATGTCTGCTGTGAAATAAATCTCATTGAATTCAGTTCGATTTATTCTCAGGTGAGTATGTACGAGATTAGATTGTAATCAAGCTTAATGACTGAGATCCTTAAATAGATTATTTTGTCATTTGATGAAGTAACTGTCTTTTGTCTGCTTTTTTAATAGATGCAGTATAATTACACTTTGTAGTATTTCTATTTGGAATTCTGAGAGAAATCTAAATATTATATAGTACTTCAAATGTAGAGTAGACTTATTACAATCATAGATCAAAGAAGGAAAGACAACCATAGTAAAACATTGCATAACCATTAACAGTTACTGCACATAGCAGGATGGAGTTTACACATGGCATAACAAAATGTAGCAACATTTAGGGATACAAAATTGTCTTTGTTGTCTAATAGGTAATGTAAGTAAAATAAGTCAGAATGCTCTAGGGATTTAGAGAGGGGCAAGAGAGATCAACTGCAAATAAGTATCCCTGTAGAACTGGCACTACTTCACACGTATGTAGAATACAGTGGGGCAAAAAAGTATTTAGTCAGCCACCAATTGTGCACGTTCTCCCACTTAAAAAGATGGGAGAGGCCTGTAATTTTCAGCATAGGTATAC